CTGAGGCCCTGCACCACTTCCAAAAGCAGCCAGCAAACTCCTTCCATCCCAAGCCCTGTTGTGTCTTCTCTCTGCTCTGTGAAGATAGGATACAGGATGGGAGGGGGAACCCCCAGAATTATCAGGGGTATTGGTGGCTGAACAACTTGTCAGGGCTGGGTGGCCCTGGCTGGGGAACTCCGGGGAACTCCTGGTGGCAGCAGGGCGGGGAGCCCAAGCCTTGAGAACCCCAAAGAGAGGAGCCGGTAGTGGGGCAGCCAGCAGGGAAACATTGACCACCTCTGGTCCAGCAAACTCCCTGGTTTGGGACAATTCAGGCCCCGAGGGTGCCTGACTAGGGAGGTTTAATCTGTACTTAGTTTTTTTATTATTTGTATTACTTTTCTGTTCAACAGTATGGATTCCAAGATTTTTAGTAATTTTCATTCAGATGGCATTCATTCAAGCTCTAAAATGTTGTGATATGAACTATAGTAAAAACATGTTGAAATTGAAAGTATATGGAAAGCTTTTTATTTTTTTAAGCCAGAAAAATTTGGTTTTGTTGTGCTGTCTAATGTAATGTTTTTTGAAAAAATAGATTTTCAAATGGCGTATATCAGAGCATTTATTTTCCAGCCATGAGAGTTTTTGGGATATTGATCAATAGTGTGGGCTTATTTTATGGTGTTGGTCAAGACTTAATCTACAAAGTTTCAGGTCTTACACTAACTCAGTTCACTCTGATTTATTTTTGTTGCCACATAAACATCTGACTGCAATTGAAGGTCTCAAAACAGTTTTTCTCATCAAAAGTATAGTCATCCAGGACACTTGATGGGCTTTTATTAGATGAGGTACCATTTTTTGTTGTGAGGTAGAGTTTGTTTTATTATCAGACCTATAAGGCATAGCCATGTGAGGTGCTATATGCTTCCTGTGAAGTTAAGAGCACATTCCACTCGTAATGGGAAAGCACATAGTACTTTATAGGACCTGCAAAATATCTTGTATGCATTTGTGCGTGTTCTTGAGTATCCTAAGGCTTGTGTAGATTATCAGCTAGTGAGCAGCAAGTAATATACAGTGCAGCTGAAGGTGGTTGGAGAACATTAACTTTTTATATGGACCTTGCTATTATGCAGTGAAAGTTTCCTGATGTGCTATGATTAAGAATGTAAAAGATTAACCAGTTACCCGATAAGCATTTGCCTTACCAGCAAGCTTACTGGGGTAACCGGTTAAGAGGAGGCCTGGCTGGAGCAGCTTGCAGTGTGCTTTGGCCGACCGGAGCAGCGCCTTCCCATCCCCCACCTAGGGTATGGCAGGCCTTGCCCTGACTGGCTAGAGCAGTCCACAGTGTGGCGGGCCCAGATGGGCTGGAGCAGGTCACTGCCCATGTTGCCTTGCGGGTAGAGGGCTGTTCCAGACTGTCCAGGCCCACCGCACCATTCTGAGGGTGGGCAGTTGTTCTAGCCTGGTCAGACTGGAGCAGCTCCTTGTTGTGGGATCCTGGTTAACCAGTTACACGGTATTTTTTAACTTTTAAAATGGGATTTTTACATACCTAGCTATGATATATTCCACTTTGATATCCAAATTGTTTACTAGGGAACTTTGAGTGTGCAATAAAAGGGCCTACATATATTTACACCACTGCTATAGACATCAGTTTCTCTTCTTGCTGGGGGTAGAGGTGTGCTTGCCCCTACCGCTCCAGGACCCAACCCTACTCCACCCCTTCCTGCCTTTTCCTGTCCCTGTTTCTATCCTGCCCACCTCTTCCCTACCTCTTCCCCCAAGCACTCTTTGTCCCTGTTCCTACCCCTCTCTCCCAGAGCTTGAATGCTGCAAATCAGCTGTTCCTGGCACTTTAGAGTGCTGGGGGTGGGGAGGAGGAGTAGGAGTTGGTCAGTGAGGCTGTCAGCACCCGAGATGTGTGGGGGGAGGGAGGGGATGAATGAGAGGAGAATTTGGGGCAGATGGGTGTTCTGCACCCATTAATTTTCCTCTGTGTACGCTCCAGCCAGGGCACTCATGGAATTGGTGCCTGTGCCTCAGCTTGTCACTTTTGATTAAGACAAGGTGTGATGGATAGGAAGAGTGCCGGCCTTTTCTGAACACCCTAGCATTCAGTAACCAAAGGGTTAAACTCAGGTAGCTAGGAGGTGTTGTCAGGGAGCCAGGAGAGAGTGGTGGAAGGTGTTGAGATCTGAAATGAGAGAAACTCTGCTTGCTTTTTTCTTTGTGTTGGTTTTCAGTTGGGAGCTGGGGGAACAAGATGAATTGAACCAGGCAGGACTACCCTGCCTACAAAGAATACTGTGCATGGAGGGATAACTCAGTGGTTTGAGCATTGGCCTGCTAAATCCAGGGTTGTGTGTTCAAGCCCTTGAGGGGGCCATTTAGGGATCTGAGGCAAATTTGTCAGGGATGGTACTTGGTCCTGCTATGAGGGCAGGGGATCGGACTCAGTGACCTCTCAAGCTCCTTTCCAGTTCTGTGAAATAGGACCTTGAAGCACAGATCTGTGAATGATAGGAAATGTCCATGTAGATGCAATCAGGTTATTTTCTTCATTTTGTTGTTTTGTTAAAACTTCTCTGTGCCAAGTCCACGTGCCCCTTCGTACTTTAAGCTGTATCCCAGGGATGGAATTTCTCTGTTTTTTAGATTGTTCTTTTCTCAGTTACTTTACAACACCTAGCAACCAAGTATGCTTTATCAAGTATGTCTCTTTGTTTTGTTTAATAAAATCACCTTTTTTAAGGTGGTGATTTGATTTCTGTGTACTGACAGCTAACCTCTCAGTCCTAGGCATGCATACACAGACCTCCTGTTATCTATCAGAGATTGCTTTTTTTTTTTTTTTCCCCAAGCTCTTTTGTGGTAAGAGTTTGGGGTAACCCTCTGGAAGAAGGTACCAACTGCTTTCTTCCTGGGTTCAAGAAGAAAAGGTGTTTTTTTTTTTTTTTTTGGTTTGTTTTTTCCGCTTGCCTGGTGGCAGACACCTCTGAAGGGAACCTGTGATCTTGGGAAGCTTTTAAGCAGAAGCCTAATTTAGTCATGGTATTTTTAAGGTCTCTTGTGGGCCACCCCCTTCTGCACTCAAAGTGCCAGAGTGGGGAACAGCCTTGACATAAGCCCTAATACTTTACACTTTTATAGTAGCTAGAGGACTCATAGCTGACTGTTTCTTATTCTATGCTAAGCTTTGTTGCAGCAAAACACTTCTATATAAAATCACATGCTTATGAGTCAGGCCCTACCAAATTCACTGTCATGAAAAATGTGTTCTGGACCATGAAATTGGTCTGTTACCCTGTCCTATACAAATTTAATGTGGAGGGACAGGACCAGCATTTCCCAAATTGGGGGGCCTGACCCAAAAGGGATTTGCAAGGGAGCGGGTCACACAGTGGTGTTTTTTTGTTTTTTAAGGAGGAGGTAGTGTGATTGCCATTCTTTCTTCTGTGCTGCCTTCAGAGCTTGGGTGGAAGGTAGCACAGCAGCACAGGAATAAGGGTGGCAACACTATACCATGCCATCCTTACTTCAGCAGCACTGCTGGGAGTGGCTCTGCCTTGAGAGATGTGGTCCAGGCTAGCAGTTGTAACTCTCCAGCTACCCAGCTCTGAATGCAGTGCTGCCATAAGTACAGAAGTAAGAATAGCAGTACTGCAACCCTCCCTATAATAACCTTGCAATCCCCCTCCCCACAACTTATTTTTGGGATGGTACTCCTACAATTACAACATTGATATTTAAAATATAAATAGCTGAAATCATGAAATACAGGATTTTTAAAATCTTATCTGGGAAATTGACCAAAATGATGAATTTGGTAGGACCCTACTTACGAATAAGTTTGTTTTAGTCATGGGATTTTTTAATAAAAGTCATGGGCAGCAAATAAAAATCCACTGCCTGAACCTGTCCATGACTTGCACTATATACCCCAGACTAAGTTCTAAGGGCAGCCTGAGGGTGCCCCAGATGCTTGGGGTGGGGTGGGGTGCGCAGGTGTATGGAGGTGTGCAGCCCAGGGTACTTGCTGTTGCTTGTGTGTATGTAGGCAGACAGATGGCCGGACATGGCATAGTACCCCTGCTGCTACGGTGGTGGCACTGATATTGCTTCTACTTGGTTCTGTGTCTCTCCCCAGAAGTGGCATTACATCGGTTCCTCAGCTCCTAGGTGGATCTGTGGCAAGGTTGGCTCTGCATGCTGCCTCCTCCCAGAGCGCCAGCTTCTCAGCTATGATTGCCTGGGAACTGCTCTCTAGTACTTAGTCCCTTTCCCACCCAATCTCTTGTTGTTGCTTGTGGAAGGAGTGGAGGGGGCACCCCACTTGTCTCTCCCCAGAAGTGGCATTACATCGGTTCCTCAGCTCCTAGGTGGATCTGTGGCAAGGTTGGCTCTGCATGCTGCCTCCTCCCAGAGCGCCAGCTTCTCAGCTATGATTGCCTGGGAACTGCTCTCTAGTACTTAGTCCCTTTCCCACCCAATCTCTTGTTGTTGCTTGTGGAAGGAGTGGAGGGGGCACCCCACTGCCCCTGCACTGTCTGGGCTGCTCAGGCAGCTTCCTGTCCAGCCTCACCTGGCTTGTGCTTCTTGCTATGACATACTTTACTCTTTGGCAGTAGTACACTTTAGTCCACATCAAAATTATGTTTTCTTCACTTTCTAGAATGGATAACAAGGTACAAGAAGAGTACTTGAGAAATGGCATGCTTTTTTTTTCTTTTAAAACAAATTGTCCATCTTTTTCTCTTGTTTTTTTTTTCTTTCTTTCCCCTTTTATAGGATGCATGGAATTTGTGTTTTAGGCAGATATGCAGGCAAAATCAGTGTATTGCCTTAAATGTATTTAAAGTTTATTATGCAATTAGCAAACTTTAATTTCATTAGTGTGGAAATTTGGCAAGGTCAATTGTTTGTCTGATTTTGATTTAACATAAGACTTAATTGTGTTTCAAAAGGAGATATAATTTTGTTTGTGTTTTTTTTTCTGTGTTCAGGATGGATTGGATGCTTTGGTGTATGATTTGGATTTCCCTGCCTTAAGAAAAAACAAAAATATAGACAACTTTTTAAACAGATGTAAGTATTTAGTATTTTATTATATTATCAAATAAATTTTAACTAATAAAGTTATTAATACTAAGATTTAAAATTTCAAAAGTTACAAACAGTGAGTATTCCTGTGGCACATTAGAGACTAACACAAATATATATGATATCATGAGCTTTTGTGGACCAAAACCTACTTCTTCAGATGAGCTGGAGTGGAAAATAAAGGAACCCAGAACAGAAAAAGGGGGGGGGGGGGGGGAGAAAATACCCTGTCAATTATAGTGCCACTGCTAATGAGGCTAATTGAGTGGGCTGGAAGTGTCCCAAACTTAGCTTTTGATGTGTATGAGGTGTTAAATGTATGGAAAGGTGATTTTATAATAGGGCATCCAGTTATTGTCTTTGTTCAAGCCAAGGAACAGTGCCAGATATGCATATGAAGGTGAATTACACACACTTCCTCTGTAATTGGCTTGTGAAAATCATAAGTACATTTTTTGAGTCTTGAAATTTTAAAGGTGCCGGACTTTCAGAAAAGACTGAACACCCAATCCTGAAAATCGAGACCCTTCAAGGTATTTTATGTTGGGACACTAAAACTCATTAGTAAATTTGAAAATGTAAGCCTGGATCATACTTTTTTCTATATTCTTCTCAATCTGGAAGATTGACTTTCCCTGTCAAAATTTGTGCTACAGCTGTCCTACTGGCAGAAGTGAGGATCCATTTCACTTTGAAGCTAGAGGGAATGCTAGTACTTTAAGCAGTGCCTCTGTTTCCCCCTTTCACATTCAGCATACTAAATTCTCAGAAGTAAGGGACTGTATGCTACTCTACCAAGCTTTAAGCAGTGCATGTTTGCTGATGAAGTTTTAAAGCAAGTGAATCTATTGGACTGTTGGAAGTCAGTGGCTAAGCACCTTGAACGGGAGTTTGCTGAAGTACTAAACAAATTTGAGACAGGAGTAGCCTTTTTTTGTAGGAACAGAGGATATTTTCTTTCAGCTTATTTTGCTGGTTCAGTTTAATGACTAGTTCATTCAAAGTTAAGAAACTGATTAGACATTAAACACAAGCATTGCTGTGTTTTTCCCATCCAATCAGCAAATAAAAACTAGATATGAGAGGACGAGATCTATTAGTTCTAAAATGTTGAAGGACGTGGTGACTAGAAAAACTCAGTTTAAATCACTAGCTATCAATACTACTACTATTATTGATTACATTTGTTAATTTTAAAAGCAAAACTTGTTTTAAGAAATCCTCTTTCATACATGTCCAGTTCATTTAAAATAGTTTTATTTAAAATATTTTAAAAAATCAAGAAGACATTTAAATGTTTTTGTCCATTATAATGGAATTCCAATTTCTAGCCAAATAGAGCTTGACACAAATCATGAGTTAAAATGATCCTCTAGTCTAGTAAATAAGAAAATGCTTAATTTGCTGTTTTCTATCATAATAAAAAAGTAAGTTACGACAGTGATTATATGTTAAGCTCTACAGTTGTTTAAATCAATGTGCAACTAAAGTGTGTGCTGGTTAACAAAAAGTTCCAAATTCAGTTGCACATTTGACGTGTTTTGTAATAGTTACCAACCATGAAGAATCAGCCTTTAGGAAAATAACTAAAAAGTATGAATGCAAAACAAGATTAAAACGGATTATTTAAATTGTGGTTTCCAGCTTGCTTGATTTTTTAAATCATGATTAAAATAAATTATTTTAATTACTCTGATTTTAAATCAGTCCACCTTATTATTTGAGGATGGAGAAGGTGCTGATATGGAGCTTGGTGTTACTGTGAACTGAACTGACCGGCATTATAATAGTGTTTTTAAAGTATTTTATTTTTAAGGCTGTTTAATATTAAATAACTTGTAATTGCATTTATTGTATAATAGGGAAAAATATGATTAAAATAATGCAATTAATTTATGACTTAACATTTTTACTATAAATTTGGGTTTGTTTTTTTCCCTCGTGATCAGACCATGAATTTTCAAATAATCTTACTTGATAAACTTCTATCCCTAATACGGTGTCTAGTGAAAAATGAAATAAGTAGAGCCCACTTGGATTTAGGTAAGAGTTTTTTTGCTGCCTGGTTGCTCAGATGCCTAAGATCAAGTGTTTTGTTTAACTTCCTACAACTGAAGTTACACCTAAGGTAGTATAACCTTGTTATCATGAACATATTGTGTATTCAGTTGTTCTCAAAGAAGGTGTGGTGAAACTTTATTGGAGAAAGGGGAAGGTAGAGCTGGGCAAATAAAATATTCATTGCAGCAATTAAAATTAATGTCATTTTGATGATTAGAAAACAACTAGGCTTAGAAAACTTTGAATTAGTGGTAAGAAAATGAAACTCACATTTGCATCTTCATTAAAACCTATTTCTCTAAGTAAAAATTATATATCATAGATGGAAGCATAACAGTACAGCCTGAAATAGTATCAAGGTGGAGATATATACAACAAAAGCAAAGGAAATAAGATCACAGTGCTCCATGTGCAAAATGCCATGACACAGTGGGGTGAGTTTGAGACAGTAGTTGCCATAAAGAGACATAGTCAGGTCTTATTTGATAGATAGTGTTACTATAATAATAATACAAAAAAGCTTTTACACATCCTAAGAAATATTGCAACAATTCTATTTTTCTTTCTAGTTTTTTTTTTTTTTAGTTCCAATGGAAAATAGTTTTAGAAGAACCAAAGAAATACGCTCTTGCAGTGTTTGCAATCTAAATATTGTAGCATTGTTCTAAGACCCTAAAATGAAATTGCCTACAACAAAAACTAAAGCTTGCTGATTTGCTTTCGCAGTCCAACTTGAGAGACATGCAAAACAATTACATTTTAAAATAGCCAACTATAACAACTTAGAGTGTTTTAACTACATTTTCTTGTTTGTGTCATTGTTCAAAATATAAAAGAATTAAAGATGAATTTTAAAAAAACCAGGTATAATAAGATAAAATGAAAAAAGATTACACAATGAAAATGTATTTGCCGAAGGAGATTCAAATTAGCAATTGGGCAAGGACAACCCAACCCATGGCTTGGACAATCCAGTCCCCATTCTGTTCGCAGTTTGGCTGGAGCATACCAAAGTAGAGCCAGTCAATGGAGTACTTATAATTATCTTATTCTGCCAGATACACATGTATCTAAAGCTATGTCTACACAGCAGCGTTATTTCAGAATGTCAATCATTCTGAAATAATGTAGTGCAGGTCTACACAGCAAGCCCATTATTTTGAAATAAATACAAAATAACGAGCTTCTTACTTTGATTCCTGTAACCCTCTTTGTATTGTATGAGGGGTGTAAGGGAAGTCAGCTATTTCGAAATAATTGCAGTGTAGACAGTGCCAAAAGTCAAAATAAGCTATTCCGACTTGAGCTACGGTAATTGCGTAGCTTATTTCAAGTTTAGCCCTACTTTATAGATGTGCACTAACAGATCCTTGTATTTCCGTGTCTAACAGAGTATCCAGACACTGAAGAACAAACCCCGCAAAAGTGAGAGAGGGTTGATGTATAGCAGTGGTCCCCAACGCGGTGCCTGCGGGTGCCAAGGTGCACGCCGGAACATTTATGTGTGCCCGCTGAAACATCTGGGCTGGCCGTGCCCCGGGCGCATGGCACATGCATGGTGCCAGCCCCGCGTGCATGGCGCATGGGTGTTCCCTACCCCAGGCGTGTGGCGCATGGGTGTTCCCTACCCCAGGCGTGTGGCGCATGGGTGTTCCCTACCCCAGGCGTGTGGCGCATGGGTGTTCCCTACCCCAGGCGTGTGGCGCATGGGTGTTCCCTACCCCAGGCGTGTGGCGCATGGGTGTTCCCTACCCCAGGCGTGTGGCGCATGGGTGTTCCCTACCCCAGGCGTGTGGTGCCACCCCGGGCGTGTGGAGCATGTGTGGCCCCACCCCCAGGTGCGTGGCACATGCGTGGTGCTGCCCCGGGCATGCAGCGCATGCGTGGCCGCGGCCTCGCCCCTGGGCGCCCGGCACATGAGCAGCCCCGCCCCTGGGTGCCTGGCAGACACGAAAGGTTGGGGACCACTGATGTAGAATATCACTGCAAGTAAAAAAAAGACCAATTATTTTCTTGCCCATAAATGGGGATGGAAAGTAGAGAGAAGGGGGTATATCGTTGGAGGAGGGGGAAAAGCATGGTTAATTCTCCTTCACAGAGAAATTTCCCATCAGTATCTATTAGGTCTATATTATTATTCAAGTTTATTGAATACCTAGAAGCCAAAACATTTAGCTCCAAATAGTGCTTAGCGTAGTACCTGTTTAGCACATACCTCTGCATTAATGTGAAGGCTTAGACTAAGTCACCGTGCTCAAATAGTCAAAGAACTTAAATTAGATCTTATGCAAATTTACCAAAAAAACTGACCATTTTTACAAAATCTGAATCACACTTGTAATTCCATATTTATATAGTATCATTTATTAAAATCTTTGTATTATATACTTCTCTGTAAACTATGGGTTAGCGTTAGAAAGCAAGAGAAAAGACTACTCAAACTAAGGTAAATTCAGCTATGTTCCTGTTTTTTTACTTTAAATTTGTCCTTTTAAATATGCAAATTAATTTTTGTATGCATCTTTGCTTTTAAATATGCTCCCAAT